CTATCTATATATCTTCACTCTGAAATACCATAAATAGCTGACGTGAAGCCTTTACGTCAGCTATTTATGTTATTTTACGCGGGTTTTTAAGTAAGCTAAAATAATACGTAATGTTCGCGTAAATTTAAGAAATACTACTCCCACTGATGGGCTAAGAATTCTTTCCAGAGCTTGGAACAAAAAAGTAAGATAGATACATGTTTCTTTATTATTTTCGAATGCTAGAAGAACAAAATTTGATTTTGTTAATGATTCAAAGTAACTTTTTTATATACAATAAGCGTGACAAACGAGCACACAGTTCACCTGATGGTAAGTGGATGCTGTGGCTCATGGACATCTACAGTTATTCTCGATTAAAAATCAAAATGCGTATGCGGTGTCACTCCTGAGGATTAACATGAAATGCCTCGTTTCCTGTACAACAGGTCTCCAGATCTCTACACTCACCATACGAAACACAGCAGCATTAAGCTGCTATTTTACGCTTGTATTCCGAAAGAGCGAGGTCCTATCCCGGTCGAGCAACTATATCGATAATATAGGTTCAGCATGGTTCTAACACGTATAAAATCACGTCTCTTATAGGTGGTGGCCTTTTCTTCCTAGAAGTTCGTTGAAATAGAAACCACCCCTCACTTATTTCTGCCATTATAATATAAGGAGCCGACTCATTCGTGCTACAACAATAATATAGCTGCAACGTGGCTCTACCACGTTTACAACTATTTGTCTTTTTAACTTCACGTACTTGTAAGTTTTTTTTTTAATTTTTAAAGTAACAATAATGTCCATCAAACTGAATTTTGGTCACGGCGGCCAGTCTTAACATAGACTAGTCATCTATTCAAGCCAGGTTTTATTTCTAGGAGGGGCACATGAGCCACGGGTCAAGTGTCCCTCATAGTGTTATACTATGCTATTTTTTGAATCAATTCTTTGTCAATGAATTACAATAATAACTATTAAAATACTCGTAATAAAGACTAAATAATGAGAAATTACATGTTTATTAGGGATATAGCTTTCTTTATGTTTTCTGCTGAAGACAACACGTACTTCTTCAGCATTCATTCATTTTACGTGGTAGAGCCATGCTGCAGCTATATTAGTAGTATAGTTTTAGCACGAATGGGTCGGCTCGACCGGGGAAGGACCACGCTCTCATATAATACCAGCGTAAAATAGTAGCTTAACGCTGCTGTGTTTCGTATGGTGAGTGTAGAGGACCGGAGACCCTTTTTACTGGCAAAGAGGCATTCCATCTTAGTCCTCACGGGTGACAACGCATCTGCATCTTGAGTCTTTATTGAGGATAGATGTAGATGTCTATGGGTCACAGTAACCACTTACCATCAGGTGGACTGTGTGCTCGTTTGTCATCCCATCCTATAAAAAAAATCATCTTCGCACCAATCTCATTCTTCTCTTTCTTTATGAATATGCATTAAGCCCAGTCCGTTTAGACAATCTTATCTCACACTCCTGCAAAGACTTATGTTCAACCGGCGTAAGGTGGAAACATTGTTCGTCAGTGCTGGTTAACACATGAAACGTGCACAATAATTTAAACAATGTTCTTTTATTTGGCAAAGCCGTTGCTCTTTTATAAGCATCTGCTGGTGTTTTGAATATATTTTCTCTCATCTGTTGCCAAATTTGTAACACGCCCTTCAAAGCTATAAAACAAGCTAGAGCCTCTTTATATACATTAGAAGCCTGCAAAACATCCTCTATATAAATGAATATATACCGAGAGTCGGTAATGTTCTTCAACAGACTGAGTCCGAATGTTCGATCTACCTGTTTAACGGCCGTTTATTCAACGTACCGTTCCAATTTCGTTATCGAAGATCCCAGTTTTATTAAAAAGTTTTTTAAATGTGTCGGTGCCAGTATCACGTTGCCTCGCAAGTTGATTGTGGTCATATCGACAAGTTGAGTCGCAGTAAGTACATCAACTTCAATGGCATGTAAGGATCGAGATAAATGAAGTGTGATTACCAAAATATCAGCGAGCGATTTATTTGACCGCTTTGATTCTGGAAGTTTTGACCTGAAAAATGAACCCCCGTGGTCGTGCGAATACTTTGGTCGACAATGATGGTTGAATTACAGGCGATTGTGGAAGCTGATGATACTCAATCTACGGCTGAAGTAGCAGCAGCTTTCGACATTACCATCAAAACAATATTGGTCCATTTGCGTCAAATTAGCAAAGTAACTTGCACAAGCAAGCAAAAAAACTTGACAAATGGGTGCCACATGAACTCAGTAATCGCCAGCACGAAGTAAGCGTCAAGACAGGCTTTGCACTGCTCACCGGGCAAGCAAACGAAGGAATTTTTAACCGCATTGTTACCTGCGGCGAAAAATGGATTATGTTTGACAATCGCAAGCACTCAGCAAGTTGGTCGGATCCTGGTTCAGCACCTAAACAATGCCCTAAACGAAAAGTTATCCCTAGAAAAGTGATGGCCACTGTTTGGTGGTCTAGCCCCGGTGTGATTAATCACAGCTTCTTACTTAACGGGACGAGCATTACAGCAGATGTGTACTATCAAGAATTGAACACAATGATAGAGAAACTCGCACGTCTCCAACCAGCTTTGGTCAATCGCTCGTCCCCGATGCCCCTGAATGACAACGCCCGATCTCAAGTCACAAGAGCTGGAGTTGGAAGCTCTCCGTCATCCGCACCTTACGTCGTACTCACCAGACCTTGCGCTATCAAACTTTTACCTTTTGCAGAATTTGGATAACTTTTGGCGAGAAAAAGCTTCAATAATCGAGAGGTAGACAAAATACCTTTGAAGAATTTGTTGCCTCCCGTTCAACTGATTTCTTCAAAAAGGGCATCAAAAACTGTCACTGCGTTGGCAAAAATGCACCGATTGCATGAGTGATTACTTTCATTAATAGAAATAAAAAATATATAAAAAAATTACGTCAACTTATTTCATAAAAAACGGCAATTTTATAGGTAAAGACCCTATTACTTGGTTTTTCTTTTGGCACTTGAGCTTGCATTTCTTCTCAGAGAAGACGAATTTGTTTATCTGACTCTCGAAATTATGGTGTGGTGACAGTATGGTGCATTCTGTACTGATAGCCAAGCTAAAGGCTGAATGTTAGTTGTGTGCTCCTTTTATTGTACCACTCATGTAAGCTCCTCCATCATATGCTTCACATTGTTTGACAAACGTTGTTACTTCTATCGATGTTACTTGTGTGCTTATACATATATATATATATATATATATATATATATATATATATATATATATATATATATATATATATATATATATATATGTATATATATAAGTATGTATATATATATATATATGTATGTATATATATACATATATATGTATAAGCACACAAGTAAAATCGATATATATATATAACAAATCTTATTTAAGTGCTATTCGTAATAACCTCCCACTTTTTTGTTTTATTTATACGGTTCGGAGGAGCGAGGCACGTGCCCCTGTGCGTGTTATATGTAAACGAGTTAAGTACAAGCAAAAGTGCACTCTCTATTCTCTCATTCATATAGTCCGATGGGACGGTAAACCAACACGACCCGCGGGAGATCGAGCGCAGGACATACGACTGAACTTGCTTTTTGTGCGAGACACGGGACCGTAACACGGCCAACTTCCTGACTCCGGACTGCTAATGAGAATTTCTCGACCGAAAAACTCAATAAATGATTTAAGACCCGACCCGAGATTCGAAACTATGACCGCATGATCAGCAGTCGCGTTCGCGATTACTAGACCGACGAGGCAGTCCAAGATAACAAGAATGTAATAATTTAAAATTAAAAACTTTGTACAGCTGACTTCAATATAATTTATTAAGAATAGCTCAAAAACTTATCTGTTCTTGGTCTGATCAAATTCATATGGGACCACAAGAAAAGTACCTATCAGCTTTCAAATAAAAAAAGAGTCATCGAAATCGGTTCACCCAGTAAAAAGTTATGAGGTAACACACATAAAACAAAAACAAAAATATACAGTCAAATTGAGTACCGTCTCCATTTTGGAAGTTGGCAGAAAGGTAAGGATGCAATTAATTTATAAATTTGGTCAGATTTTTATTAACTACTATTCAACTAAGTATAGATTAATCTTAAATTTTCGATGAACGCCACGTGCTTAAAATAACGATGTAGAGATTTTCTAATTTAAAAATGAACGCGCCTATTTTTATTAAAGCTTATCTCTTTTATGTTATCAAATGTAGTCAAATGTTTAAATCTATTATTAAACAATTGAATATTATATTTAGATACTATCTATCTATATATTACAGCAAAAAAACGTCCACTGCTGAAGGCCTTCCCCATAGATTGCTTCCGCAAAGTAATAAGAAGTGCTAGTGCAATTCCCTGATACTTTGTCATAGTTACTACACTTGGCAGGCGGGTTTGCAACCGCAGTATTTTATTTTTATTCAGCTGTTATCAGGAAGATGCTGCTGTCCATCTCCTTTTTTAGTTTCCCTCTATCTTGTCTCCCTCTTACGACACCCACGGGACGATATGGGGTAGTGGGTATTCTTATAGTTAATACAATAAATGTGACAAAATCTGCCAAAAACCCAAGAAAGGTGCGTGCAGTTTTTAATAAGTCAATCTCTTAAATCAGAGTAAAAAAAAACTATTACACAAAACGATTAAATTTAATTTATTAGCCGTGAATCATCGGAATCTCGTCTTTGTTCCGGTAATAAAACGCATAAGATACGAGTTTTGTGGTAGAGTTAGAGATTAGATAGTCGTTACTATGGTAGAGTGATTAAAACACTTATTCAACACACCGCGGATAATTCGTCCATTATATTAGTAATATCGATTACGCGTTCGGAACGAATTGAATATCGTTTAACAATCGTAAATACATTACGAGATTTGCGTTACGTCCACAGATGGGGTCTGAATCACAGATAACTGTATACTAGGTCTGAATCGAGAATCGATTTGCAATGTCTCGGGTCGGGTTCACAAACATTCAAACAGCTGTGCGGCTTCGGGCCTTCGGGCACCATCGCTTTTGTTCGGCCTGGGATATATACACACACCGCATAGAGCGTATACTGTATAGTATAGTGTGTGCACCAGTCTATTGCTGTACTGACGAACAAGTTCGTTGTCTCTGACTGATTCAGATTCAGTAGCACATGAGTTTCCGTGGTGGGAGGACGTCGCTACCCCGCCTTGCGTTTAATAATAAATCAACATAAAGGGCTTCCAGTGAATCAAGTTTTATACGTTACTAAAATCATAGTTTTTGTATAGTGTATATAGTGATTCAGTTGTTTCCGCCTCAGTGGATTTCTCTTTGTGAATCAGGTAATGCACAAAAAAAGAAAGAGTACGTGCGACTTTCGTTTTATTTATTAAAAAATTTACACGTTCAAATAAGTAAAAGCCTCTATTGTTTACGTTTGTAATTTAAATTTGTGTCATCACATATAATTAACGAAATGTCTGACCTTTCGATAAAAGATTGGGTCATTATCAAAATTTAAGGAGAATAAATAATTAATTAAGGCTCTTAAAGTTTAATATAAGTGTTGACATTATACACGGTGAAAATACACGGAAACAAGCGTTTATAACCGCAGTACAAAAACCTTCGGTTTCCATAATATTGTGCGTTTCTACAAGTGTAGAGTAAGTGGTCTGCGAAAGATCCATAGATAGCATAAGGGCTTTAATTTTTGGTCCCTTTCTCCTTGGTTTAATCACATAATAATTTTATTATTATAATTATTTCAAATTCGACATCATGACGACCTTGCTTTACCAAATTAAATATTCCTTATCCAATTCGTATTTTAAATTTTATCAATTTAACCTTTGGTTTGTCAAGTACCTCATGTGTATGTAAGTGTAGAATTAATAATTAATATTTGACTTCCGTGTGTACCCGTGGTAGCTCAGGGGTTAAATGCTCGCTGTAAATTTCACAGTACACGAGCAACACGGGGTCGATCCCCTCCGATGCTAATGAAAATTTTAATTGCAATTTTAAGTGCCGATTTACCACGTGCTCGACGGTAAAGGAAAACATCGTGACGAAATCTAAATGTCTTCGAAATATTTCGAAGACATTTGAAGTCGCCAACACGCATTGGACCAGAACGGTGGACATTTCCTTGCCATAAAACCATTTTAGAAATCAGAGGAGACCTGTGCCCAGCAGTGGGACGTATAGGCTGTAACTTTAAAGGTAACGATGTATTTCACTGTTGATGAAAAACGCATTTTCCTTCTCATATTCGCAAGTTTTGTAGGCTATGTATAAATTCCCCATAAGTAACAAAACTAAAGCAAAATATTCTTTCAACTGATATATTTCCAATTTCACGTTTCATTTATTGCAATCTATCGAATTTAACAAATATGTTAATTAATAAAGGTGTTGTCATATATTAATATTTCTCACTCATTTATACGTGGTAGAGCCATGCTGCAGCTATATTTCTGGTATAGTTGTAACACGAATGGGTCGGCTCGACCGGGGAAGGACTAAGCTCTCACAGAATACCAGCGTAAAATAGTAGCATAATGCTGCTGTGTTTCGTATGGCGAATGTAGAGAACTGGAGGCTCTTCTTACTGGAAACGAGTCATTCAATCTTAGTCCTCACGGGTGACAAACATCTGTATTTTGATTCATAATCGAGGATAAATGTAGATGTCACAGCAACCACTTATCATCAGGTGGACTGTGTGCCCGTTTGTCACCCTAATTCTACAAAAAAAATTGAGCGTTATTCATAATGTCCAGGCAGTTTGAAAAATACCCAATACGAGCGGGCAATATGATAATAACTATTGAAATAATTAAATTTCCTTGGTTTATTATGAGTTTTATGAATGAAATACATTACCTATTGGGCAGAGTTACAAACATATAGGTTAGGTTAGGTTATGACCTGACATTGTGATATAGAATCTTAATCCAGTATTAATTAAGTAACCCGATTTGACTTGTCATTATCCATATTGCTCGGGCATTGTAAATAGTGCCCTGATCTCACTTGGTCCATAACATACACACTATTAAATAGAAGTGAAGTTTGTTAGTTTGTGGCCGGTAATTTTTGGAACCGTTGCGCTGGTTCAATTTTGAACATTCTTTCATTGCTCCAGAGCCAGATCAAACCCGATCATCATAGGCGTTAGGTGACATGTAATTACGAAATAAAAATTATTATTTGGTATGCCGTCTTTGCTATTATATTACCATATTGGTCAATGAAATCTACGAATTGTTTACGTGGTAGGGTCATGCTGCATATTATATTAGTAATATAGCTGTAGCACGAATGGGTCGACTCGACCGGGGAGGGATCACGCTCTCACAGAATACCAGCGATTTTGATTCGTAATCGAGGATAAATGTAGATATCTATGGGCCACAGCAATCACTTACCTTAGCTATAAAAATCTAATTGGCTGGTGCCGTCTACATTTTCTCATTCTGCAAAGAAAAACAACCAAATTCTTCACGGATAGTGATGCGGCAAACCACTAATCATATCATACAGTCATAAATAACACGCAGTAGACAATAAACACCTCAATAAAATTAAGTAACACCAAAAAAAAATGAAGTAACGAAATAGATATTAACTAGCAAAAAATTATAAAGCCAAGAAAAACATGTTGCTTGTTAATTGCTTTATGTTATTTTGAGGTTCACTTGAAATCATATTTATGTTAATTTGTTTTTTAACAAACAATGATATGAGACGCATGAAAATCTGTACAAATACTGATGTAGAGTTCTTTCAAAATATATAATATTAAGATCTTTAAAAACTTTTCAAAGAACTGTGCGTAAGAATTTGTTTTTACTCTTGCGAAACTTTCTGAGTTGTCCACATATATTAGTTAATAATCTTGTTGATTAATTTTTTTATTACAGGCAATTTCAATAAAGTATCCTCGACAAAGTTCTCGGAGAAATATATTAATTCATCTGTTTTACACCAAACCGAACTTTAGATATTGCGCATTCGATCTAATAATAATCTATATATTATATAAAAGAGAAACTCACTCATCACGAGATCTCAAAACCTATACGCCCAATTGACTTGATATTTGGCATATGTACACCTTTCTCGACGAAGACACCCATTAAGAAAGAACTTTGGAAAATTCAAACTAGGTGTGGGTGCAATAAGGTGCTACAGTTTTTATTTATAAAATGTAGATCTGTTTTAATTTTCTGAATACAGAAATTGTGTTGTAAAAGAAAGTAATAAAAGTAATTTTCGTGTTTCATGTAGACGTGACGAAAGTGAATCCAATAGCCCATATATCTCATGGGTGTCGTAAGAGGCAACTGTAAGAAACTGAAGTAGGAGATGGGCAGCAGCATCTTTCCGAAACAACTCAATAACAATAATAAAACATGTGGTTGCTAACTCTACTATCAAGCTTGGCAAATCTCCCCTCTATGATGCAATCTATGGGGAAATATATGATAAGCAGTCGACTTTTGATGAGCTCTAATAGAAGAATGAATAGGATCTAATTCGAGACACAAGTCTTTTAGGAAATCGTTAGGAAAACAATTCATTTGTAACTTTTTAATGTATATTTTAATCTTAAGATAACACTTCACGTGCGCACCTTTTTGATTCTAAATCTGCATCCCTCAATGACGTATGTGGTACAATTTCATGTTGCTAATATATAGCAGTACAGCTGTGCAGTTCTGTGTCTTACTTCCTTTTATTCTATTACTCATTTTACTTTGGCGGGAATGCACAGCATCTTGCAGTAAGTAAAAGGTTACCCTTTGACTCTGGGTTGACAGAGAAAATATAATCGAATATAGGACCTCTTCCTTTTTTGAAGTCGGCCAAAAGGTGAAAATATTGTCGTACCGTTAGTTAATATATCAATACATTAATTTATTAGCAAAAACCGAATTGCATAATACAAAATATATTTCTGATAGTTGTTCATCATCATCATCATTGATGGACCTCTTCCTTTTTTGGAGTCAGCCAATAGGTGAAAATATTGTCGCAGCGTTAGTTAATATATTAATACATTAATTTATTAGCAAAAAGCGAATTGCATAATACAAAATATATTTCTGAAAATTGTTCAATTGATATTAATTACGACTCTACATTTTGCACAGTGACCAAAATGAAATAATTATACCTGTACAGTGCAATCGTACACTTTTGTTAGTAAGCGGTTTATTTAGGTCAACATCATTTGCGTCATTTAATTTATTTTTCAAGAAGTCACGTTTTCATTATGAACAAGGCGGACGCGTTCTATATCATTATCAATTTTGTATCAATATCATTATCAGTATAAATAAAATTATTTTTTATATCATATATCATTTAAAAGTGTTCCATACATCTTTATAGTCATTCATACGAGAGACATTCCATCTTCGTCCTCAGGAGAGACAACGGATTATATTTTTTTCTATATAGGATAGGGTGATAAACAAGCACACAGCCCACCTGATGGTAAGTGGTTGCTGTGGCCCATAGACCTCTACATTTATCCTCGTTTGTGAATCAAAATGCAGATGCGTTGTCACTCGTGAGGACTAACATGCAATGCCTCTTTTTCAGTAAAAAGGGTCTCCGGTTCTCTACACTCACCATACGAAACACAGCAGCATTAAGCTGCTATTTTACGCTGGTATTCTGTGAGAGCGTGGTCCTTCCCCGGTCGAGCCGACCCATTCGTGCTACAACTATACTACTAATATAGCTGCAGCATGGCTCTACCACGTGTAAAACGTGTAAATCTTATGTATATATGTATATACATAAGTGCCTGTGGGCATCTAATAACCATTAGGTGGGTTGTGTGCTTGTTTTTCACTCTTATATACATATATAAAAGGTTTTCAAAGCAAAGGTAGAGCTCACAACTTAAACTACCTCAGTTGTACAGGACACTATCTAGAGTCGACTTTGTAGAGTTGGTTGAGCAGATATTAGGTAATAACGTTCATGTTTTTTAAATTTCTATCTTGTGTTGGCGTCGTATGGGGGTTGAACAAACTTCGAGTACCCGTAGCGGTGATAGGACATAATTAAGTTATTTTTATGTTAGAGAGGCGGCAAACAAACTTCACATCACTTGATGGTAATAAACGACACACCACTTATAGATTAAGGATCAAAATGCAGATGCGTTGTCACCCCTGAGGACTAACATGAAATGTCTCGTTATAAGTAATAAGGGTCTCCGGTTCTCTACACTTACTATACGAAGTACAGTACAACATTAAGCTGATATTTTACGTTGGTATTTTGTCAGAGCGTGGTTCTTCCCTGGTTCATAACATAG